CGCCGAGGCCAAGACCACGGAGTTGGGTTGGGACCCAGATGGGGTGCGAAAGTCAAGAAATGCACCACATGTGGAGGATAAGTGTTAATAGAGAGGGGGAGAGTGTCAAAAGCTACATTCTGAAATCAGGGCTGAGCTTTTGACTAATACATACTAATACTATATAATACTACTAATGCACCCCCGAACTGCCATTCAGAATCTGTCGGAGTTGGGGAGCTCTCAACCACTCAAAAGACCTTCGGACATCCACAGTGAATCTACAGCAGATTTTTTTTTGCGACTACTGGGCCCATTCTTTTTTCGGAGGACTACTGTCAGAAGCAAGCAGCTAGCTGGAGCTTTGGCCAAGTTTCTGATGTTCATTGCGTGCCCAGATTCAGGCGGCAGCCCAATGTCCAAGCTAGAAGAAGTTGTTGAATCACTCATCATAGGGATTCACAGGATATCCATGGGTAGGGTATCCTGTCTTAGTCTTCGCTGCCCCAACAAGGTGATCAACAGCGCAAAGCTCATGTGACTCACACCAAGCAGATCAAGGCGAGACTATCGGCTTGTGGAGATGAAGGCTGTTCAAGTTAGGGAACAACTGTGAGCTATGGCATAATGGGGACTGGTCTGCAGTAGACTGTGAGGTAAGACTGGAGATGTTCCACAATCTGGCTTGTAAACAAAATATGATAACATCTCATGATTCACTTAGTTTGGCGATGTTTGGTGTATCCTTTTGCAGCATGTCCGGCCATTTGTTTGACACAGGCGGTCAAGGAAGGGGGCAGCGCTCTGCGCGATGCGTCACTTGGCCAAAAAGAATGGTCCAGGACGGTCGCACAGGACATGAATCAGGATGTATATCAGGTATATCCGGTACAGTATATCAATAAAGGATGCCCTCCCAGTGACTAGCTCACGGGTATATGAAATGTGCAGGAAAGAGCATGTGTTTTTTTTGTTTCATGCAAAAGCTGCTTGCCCTGTTCAGCTTTGAGTTTTATTGGAATCCTACTATTGGGCAAACGATCAGTATCAATCAGCAGGACCTGTAGCTCCCCTGCCTTCATGTGGCACCAGGTGGAATGTTGAAGGATCATGAATGAAGGCATGATCATACTGATGACTGATAGTTATATAGTATACAAGATGTCTTCTTGCTTCAACAGTACAACAGGACACCGGATGTCACATCCGATGGTCCGATTTGCTTCGATGTTGGTCGATGCACGGCAGCGTCGCGGCTCTCGCCGCCAGCTGACCCAGCGGAGGCTGTCGGAGGTTGGACAGGAAAAGGAAGACCTCGAGGCTGCTGCGTTTTGGACACCATGTGTTTGTTTGAGGTCCGCTTGGCCCTACTGCTTCCCCCCCCAAAACCCTACTTAATCAAGGAAGGAATTGAGATGAATTGAGGTAGCTGGTACCTTACTTAAGCTGTGTACTTTGTACTAGTGTGGACGGAGGATAGCTCACAGTATTCATTTGGCTCCTATATAAATGTTTAGGGAAACTTAACTCCTGCGCTGCCCGGATAGGGTGATGGGGTGGCTTGACATGAATTAGGTCCAAAGATGCCTGAGTAAAATTTAATTAGTAGTTTGGGTTTTGGATTTCGTTGGAAAGCAAAGCTCCACCATGGTTAAAGTGACATCCTCTGATTGAACACATCACTGAGAAAGTACTACTTGGCTTATATCTAATCTAAGGCAGCACTAATTCAGGTGGAGCTTGAGCGCCTGAGAAGCATTGTCGAAAGTTCGAGCCTCAGCCGTGAGAGAAAGAAACTGGTGACTTCCACTTGGCAAGGCCTCCATGCAAGATTTGTGCCATTGGAGGGAGATGTTTCGCCTTTCTGCGTGAAACTTGCATTGCGTATTATGTAACCCTTTCAATCTACAGCTTTGGGCTTCCAAGGGCTATCACTTCTGATCAGAAATCATCAGAAGGAAGGCACATATCCTGCTGCCTTTGTGTGTTTGCGTGACCACCGGGCCAGCATGCACAATCGACCCCCCGGCTCTGCAAGTTCATCGCCCAGGTGCGTCCTTGGCCCACGGTGAACGCCGGAGCCGACAAGAGGCGCAGGAAGCCGTGAACGAGGCCGGGGAGCTACGAAGCGCTTGTTTTGGGGGTCATATTGGACAATCATCTTTCGGGCGCGGGCCCCTTTTTCTTTCAGAAAACGACGTTATGCGGGTGTGGTTTTTACGCGTTTTTGTGATTTGTGGTTTTCTGTGTTTTTTTTGAAAATGTTAGTTGTTTTGAAGAACGTGTCTAGCAAAAATGTCGACTTGTAATCTATCAAATTTCTCATCAATCTGATTCAAACATACTAGTTCTCATTGATTCCCACACAGAAGTCCATCAACCATCATCTATCAGCAAGTCCACGACATCCCATCATACAACATCAGGTCATCACCTCTATGAGGGAGATCTGGTCTCCTAGACCTCCAATCTCAATCAGTTCTCAATCTCCAGCAACTGGGGCCTGGGCCTGGGATGCTCAGGCCCCACTTGCTGGAGATTGAGGGCTCATTGTCAATTCCACGAGCTGGAAGTGGCCCAGGTGCTAGAGATAGTCAAGATTATTGATTTCATTATGGCTACCTGTGTAAGAGTAGCAATTCCACCACAACTTCTTATATTCCTCTCGTCTGTTTGAAGACACAACTGTCTGCTCCTGCAAGCACTTGTATATACTGTAGGCTCTATGTGGCGAGGGTGGATACCTATACTGTATGGTCTCAATGATGGAGTGTGGAAGATTGTCTTGACTTGATGGCTTAAGATATCCAATGAAAGAGAGAGATGGGCATATAGCTAGAGAGCATAGGAAAATGTAACTTCCAATCTGGATGAAATGAGATGAGATGAGATGAGATGAAGCATTGGGTGCATCAAACAGCTGGCATTGAGCTTGTGGCTGTATGCGTGCAATTTCATTTGAGACCAAAGGCGGTTGCGTAGATGCAACACCTGGGCACGAGAGATTGGGATCCTGACTTTGAGCAAATTGTTTTGCCATACAAGCCATTGAGCAAATGCTCTAGACAGCAGCACAATATGGATGGTGCTTCGATTGGGTTTGATTGTCCTCCAAGAACACATGGGCACCATGTGAGAGGGAAACTTGCTGGGCAATCAATGATGGGGATGGGGTCCATGGAATGCCTGGTGCAAATGGGTTTGTGCATGATTAGGTGGCCCAATGGAAGATCAGAACCGTTTGGGTACAACATTGGTTGCTCCTTATGATTCATGCTATTGGTAGGGCAATTTTTTTGCAAATCTATTGGTTTACTTTTGGGTGGGTGTTGGTGAGGTCCAATGAGGTTTTGAGCTTGGGTGGCATCGCGAGAATGTCCTTGGCAATGTTGGGTGAATATTGGGAGCATGCTGAGCATGCCAGGTTTGGTACAACCTGACTTCATGTATGTCTATGTGTGGGCAAGAAGGTTAGGGTGAATAGTGGCCACACAGCCAATTCAGACCCTCAGTGTATCTAAGGCTGGATCATTCCATGTGCTTCATAAGATTCTTTGGAAGATTTCGTCATAGATGGGGGGATATGGAGCATAGATCTGAAGAGCCATTGGGTGAGAGCAGTGGAGATGAGCAGGATTGGTCCAATCGAACTTGTGGGATAGGATGTGAGCTCCCAAGTGACCCTGAGAATGAGGATGAGGCTTATTATGGGTATGGACGTCAAGAAGGCCATGCAAAACCCAATTCCAATCAGTCATCCAGGTCCAGTACTACTAAGCAAGTTTCTCAACTTTTGTTGGGCGTGGTGGGCACATTGTGTTTCAAGATAATGATCTTCTCTCCATTTCATAAAGAATGTGGAGGGAGAAGCCCATTTCATAAAGAATGTGGAGGGAGAAGCCCAAAAAGTGCTACCTTTGAAACAATGAGAATGCTTATGGGCAAGGAAGGGTAGAGTTGGATCCAGAGGTTTTTTAAACAAGAAAAGTTGGTTTTGTTTAGGAAGCAGGAGCACAAGAACATATCTAGACTATAACCATGGAAACTCTGACTAAACATGACAAAATCTAAGAAAAGCACCACAAAAGCACGTAAAAACCACACCCGCATAACGTCGAGCTCTCTTTTCTTTTTACAATGACCTGACAGGGTGGTCAGTTGGACTGGAATGTTCGAAATTGTTCGATAAGACCCGACTATATATTTGGTCCACTGTTTGATTCTTCTAACTGTATGTGTGTGTGTGAACACTGGCGAAGGCAGTGCGTGGACCCACATCCGCAGAACAATGGCCTGTCAACCACCTTAAACCACAGACACAGGTTCCGGTTTCAGTCACGGAACACACGGACCATACCAGAAAACAGATGGTGGCCCAAACGGGGAAGAGAGCTGCCTCTGCTTGTGGTGACTTCACCCCAATCTTCCACCACGTGACGAACTGTGGATCCCCTGGGGAGCCTAGGGTCATTCTTGGTCCCCATGAAGAGAGTTCTGAGGTCTGAGTCTTGTTTCAAAGAGAAGGATCGCACATGTGTTTTTCGATGTTGCCAACTCTGGAGCTTCAATGCCAAGTCTGACGTAAAGACTTCATGTCTTGATGAGCTCATGCTGGACATGCCCGAAGTGACCCGAGATTCATTTCCGAAGGCAAGAGTGGTACCCAAACCATTGTGGAACAAACATATTGGAAAACGCATCGCTCTCCGAGTCCGCTTCAAGCTGCTTTCCAACCATGAGCCACAAACGTAGAGACACTCCAGCCAAAAGATGAAAAGAAGGCGCATGTCCAGCAAACGAGGTAACAGCCAGAAGAACTTCGGTGCTTCAACATGCTACAACCACGAACTACATTCAAAATCATTCAAAGTCATTCAGTCTTGATGTCACTCTCAGACCCATCAGACATCAGCAAGCTTGGCCAAGCATGGCCATTCCGCAGCAGCATCAGCAGTTGACTGAGACAAACAGGAACCAAATAACAAGTCTTGTGCTGGGCAGTAGGGGTCGAGCCGCGCGAGATGGCATCCAAAGATGTGGAACAGGGAGATCCTGTGAAGGTGGCTGCCCAGGATGACTGGACCTCAGTGCTGCTGCTCTCAGGCGAGGTGCAAGTTGAAGTCACAAAGACAAGAGATGAACATAGATGAACCGTGCAATCCAAACTCAAGAAATCGGGAGAATTTGTATCGTGCCCCTCCCCCAACATGGTAATCGACTGAACTAGAGCTTGGGCAGCTTGGTCCTTTTTCATCCTTTTTCCATCTTTATGTCAGCTCCTAAACCCGCTTGAGCTCGATCGCCTCTCACTCGAGGTGCCTGGTCCTGCGCCTTCTCCATCTTCTCCAGCGCGGTGGCCACGCTGTCTTTGGCGGTCACGAACACGGCACCGGAGGGCCTGGAGACCTTGCCCTTGTCCTTGGCGCTCATCCTTCAAGGCTCCGCCGCGTCAGCGCGGCGCGCGGCGCGCGTCCTTGCGGAGCGACCGGAGCGCCATGTTGCGCCATTCCTCCTCTTCGGCCGATTTGGGAGGGTCGGATCTTTTTTGGCCGAGCGGGCGGACAGACGTCATAAAAAGAAGTGGTCAATTCGGAGAACGAGGGTTTTTGAACGCCAAATACTCCAGAAGCCGCCGTCCCTCTTTGATGTCCATCGTCGTCTTTTTGTGGAGGCCCAAAGCCCGGTCAGCCCAGTCATCACTCCGTTGTCGCAAAGGAGAGGTCAAGGAGAGGTCATCGGACTGAGGAGAGGATAGTCTGAAGGTGGACCCCGCAGGTCTGGCCAATTTGGTCTTGCCCAGCTTCAAGCGCCGATTGGGCCTGAAGGGCACCTACATCTTGGGAGTTTGCTTGGGCATGGTGGCGTGTGGTTTGTTGGTTCTTGGCTCCTATCTCCTGGAGTTTAGTGTCTTGGCGCCTGTTGGCGGATTGGCTCCCATGAGATGTTCACATGTTCACTTGGACCTTGAGCACTTCAAAAGCTTTTGAGTTGCCCTAACACAAAATGACATTGGCATAGTTAGTTGATGGGTGTGTGGAGCTAAAGCCAGCAGCGAAGGCGATTCTGGCTTGAGCATGCCCGGTTCAGATACTGCGATTGTTTTCTAGAGGAATAACATTCCTGAACCCGCCCCCGTCTCATATTCGCACATTTATGGTCATTTGTTTGTCAAACAAAGCCAAGTGTGTCCACAGCGATTGTTTACGTATTTGTAATTTGTGTCGCCGTACTTGGTCACTCTGCCTTTTGCAAAGCAGCAAGGCATTCAATGCATTGGAGCAGCCTTACTGGGCTACAGTCTGGGCCATGCTCAGAACTATCGCTTCGGTGCTGTGTTGCTGTTCAGCCGCAGAACAGAACAGTGGAATCGGGCTGCTGGGGTCAGTTCTGGACTGGGTGGGTCATTTTACGGTTTTTCTTCTGGGCCTGGATCCTGCTCAGGTGCTTGAAGAATTTGAAGAGGGGTTGGGTGCATTCCAACTGCCAGCCTTCCTGTCAGCACACTTCCCGAACCCTTCAAACGTCGAGCTATCGACGTCCTGCGCCCTGCGCGTGGGAGGAGGACGTTTCCATTCACGCCCTACCCAAGGTTGATGCCATCAAGTCCCGCAAAGGCTGTCAGTGCGGTGCTCTTTGGTGGAGTCCTGGGCTCGTTGGTGGGCCCTGGCGTTCTGCCACAGGCCGAACCAGCTTCACATGTTTCAAAAAGGCGATCTTCCACCGGTCCACCCAACAATGGAACATCATTATCTATAACGTCCATATATGTCCATATCATTAGGGTGTAGCCCAGTAAACCAGTAACAGCCGGTATTTTAGTGTACGTATCACGATTTTTGAGATGTCGGGTGCAACCTAATCATCATCCACTGGGCCCTGTTAGGAATTGTTAGGATATACCCAAACTATTAGTAAAAGTCTGAACACTCAACGGCACCACGCCACCTTTTTGGTTTCGCACAACGATTCAATAGGCTTCATGCCGTTCCAAGAGAGCGGGTTTCGCAGGTTCGTGTGGCAGTTCGCACCGTTGTTCGTGTTGCCATTCCAACGACAGTTGGCCCTCGAGGGCCAGGCCACGGTTCCTGTGGATGAGGCGAAGAACCTCTTGGCAGCCGAGTTTGCTGGACACTTGGCGAAAAGCAGTTTGGACACCAGGGCACACTTTTCTGGACCTCAGCTTCCGCACCAATCCCCGGCGCTCAGCTGGGCGTCAACTGACAGCAGGAACAAGACAAGAGGAGTGCACCAAAGGTTGCATTCTGCCAAATGTGGAGAGAATGTTCCAGTTTGTAGTTTGTAGGCCCTGTGGCTTAAACGTAGAGGTTGGTCCTGCCTTTTATATCGACTTTTTAAGGTTCGGGGCGAATGACATTGAAAGACTGTGCGACTATTCGGGCGACTATCTCTGTGTTGAGATGCACCAAGAACTTGTCAATATGTCGAGTAAAGGGATTGTCATTCTCCAAGGACATTGTCACCGATGGTGTTTTTTGACGTATGTGATTTTCTGTTGTCTTAATTAATTTCGCCTTTGCCTGAGACATGGCAACGCTTGTGTACTGCCCAGGAATTTATATGCTTGGTTCATGCATCTTCTTAGTGACTCTGATGCGGCTTGCAGGGGAGGGCGGATGGTCTGTGCTCGCAAGGAACTTCTGCAAATTTGTAAGATTCTGACCACTAAGCGGACTAAGCCTAAGCCACTTGAGATCCCAGAAAAGCCTTATGTTGAAGCTACCAAGCTTTGGCTGCCTCTGCAAGCATCAAGTGCACCTTATCTTGCAATGGTTTCTGCAAAAGGCAAGAACCATTGCTTAGAACATTTTCGAACCCATGACAAAATAGACACACAGAACCAGTGATGAATGGACATACTGTATATAGAACCTTTTGGAAACGCACACTTATATAGTACCTGCTAGATGATGATCTGGTTTAAGCTGTTGATAGCTGCTGTGTTTCCTTAAATAGAACTTAGAACCTGCTTCAATATGAAAGCAAGAGGAGCATGACCTGACTTGGAAGCCCAATGATGGTTTCAATCCTGACCAAGCTATGTAGATATTATGACATCATACTAGTTATGACAGGAGCTAGAGTTAGAACCTTTGCACAGCATCACACTTAGAACAGGGTTCTCCAAGATCAAAACACAGGAAAGGTATATAATTGTAGGGACGATAGCCATTGACGCATAGAGCTAGCTCCCCTAAGTTTGAAGTCCGATGATGCTTTTAATCCTGAGCACACTGTGACATCATAGCCTGCCATGTAGACACTTTGACATCATAGCAGCTTTGAGAATACGGTTAGAGCCTCCATCAAGTGCAGCATGGCAAAAGCACTGTCATGGGCAAAACCGATCCTTGCTCAGGTGAGCTTGGTGCTTCTGCTCTTGGTGCGCTTTCCAACTTCACACGTAACAAACGGGGCAACTGATGCAAGTGTCGTGACTCCACCCCGCGGTGTATTGGAGATTCTACGGCAGCCGAGCTGCATTGCTGCCATTCTAAGCATGGCTGCATCCTACAGCCGCTTGGAATTGGAAGTGGAGCATGCCAATGCTGGCACGCCAGCAGAGATTGGTACCCCCAGTTGGTTTCTCCAGAATGAGAGTGTGACTTGCGTGTGTTGCATTGGCGTGAACTGCATGTGTGAACTTAGACAAAAATCAAGCACTGGATGTAGAGAGGACTTTGGTTGTTCTATCATTTTCTGTCACTGAAGCGTCGAAAGCATCCCTGGCAGTTCTTGTGCAATTTTTCACGGATCCATCCGTTTTCCGCTGAGTTTGCAGATTGCCTGCAGGCATCATGCTCCTTTTGATGGCTCCAACCCCCGTTGTGATGCAACAGTGCCCTTTGAGCTTTGCATTTGCATTCATGCCATTGGCGCAAAGGAATATTGTACATCTTAATTTGTATAATATACATATATATATATACTGTACTGTACACGTAAAACAACACGATACGAAGAAAGAAGGTGTTTGGACCTCTTTGAGTAAGGCCCTTGACTGGGCACACGTGGAAGATGTTGCAGCTTCGGAGTCCTCTCCGACACCACCGCCCAACCCTGCTCAGTAGGGTGGTGGTGCCGGAGAGGGTCTTCGACTGCGCAATGATTGAAATCACCATATGAATTTATATACCAGTTTCCAATTGGTGCGGCCAAAGCATTTCCCGCCCGCGGATCAAGTATGATGTTGCACGCAAATGGCGGACAAAACATTTATCCGTGCCAATGATAGATTGACACCAAATTTTGTGCAATCTCACTGCTTAATACTGCCTTTGCAGGCATCAAGCCTGACAAGTCCAAGTGTTACGACAGGTCAGAGCAGATTCGTCCAGAATCACCAACTGAATGTTTTGCAAAAGCCACAGATTCTGATCTCCTGGTGCAGCTGCATGATTTTACTTGGACCAGCCATGCATCACCCAGCCATGCTGCCGGCAGGTACTATAATCATGGATACACGCCAACAACGCTGACCATGATGGGCCACATGCTCCTCGGATCGCCGACGGAGCTGCAGCACGTGCTTGTTGAGTGTGTGTTTTTTATGGTTTATACTACACATCATGGCAACATGCCTGGAAGAGGCTTTCCGATGTTCCAAACAAAAGCTTTCAAACAAGAAACAACACACACTGTATAGAATGTGGAAGATTGTTTTGACACATTTTGAAACCTTTCCTCTTGTAGTTGGCTTGGTTTGTTCCAGCACGGGATCGTGATTTTCTTCGGGGTATATGATTTCCGTTCTCGGAATGTGATCAGCCTTTTCAGCGTTCTCGGAATGCGACACGAAACCTGGACGTTTTGAGGTTTTGCATGTTCGCGCCTTCTCCAATGACCGGGAAGCTCATTCCTCGCTTTGGTAGTTTCAAGGCGGGTCGGAGCGACCGGGAGAGGCATAAATACACCCATCCATGGGTATCGTAGTAGCGTCCTTGCTCCTAGTAGCGATGCCAGGAGCCCCTAGTAGCTTCGTGCTCCTAGTAGTAAGGCCAGGAGCCCCTAGTATAAGTCTTTTTGTTTGCGCCTTCCGCTTAGTTTTTTTTGGCCTGCATGCTTTCATTCCATTGAGCTGGTCCGTTTCTACCAAAAACCATGGTCACTTTCGTCGTCCAGACCACCAAGCTCTCCGGGACCGGGTCATGTGCTCCACCATGGTGGTCGTCAACCGTGGTCGTCCATGGTGGAGCCGTGCTGCTTCCGGTCTTGCCATGACGAGAGAGTCATGAGTCGGACGACCGCAGACGGGGTCATCCGACCCCAAGCAGTCCATTGTTTGGCGGGGGCAACTGCAGAGTGCAGTGACCATAGTGACTCTAGACTAACTAGACTATAGCCATCTAGAGCCTCCGTTCTGATGGCATCATCACTTCAGGTGGCAGAAAACCACTCCAGTTCCAATGATTCAGCTGAACAGGTGATCCATGCTGGCCTGGTCTTTGCCATCGGCACCGCCGTGTGTCTTTGGCTTTCCAGTGAGCTTTGGATCTTCGTGGTAGCCATGGCGCTCTTGGGCTTCGCATGGAACTTCATGTTCTTGGCAGGCGCATTTTTTCGCGCGCGATGTGCGATGTCAGTGGTGTTTTTCCTTTGGGCACGGCACGACATGAAGCCATGTGGGCCCAAGCCTAAGTCTTTTTTCTTTCTATGCAAGCAGGCTTAACATGCTTTGCCTGATGATCATGTCGAACTAAAGGATAACAGCTGTCCGAGCTAGTTTGTACCAGTAGCAAATCTTTGTCACTCTTTTGGGTCCTTCTGAAATTGAACATGAGTTAACAGGAGTACTCAGTTCACATAGCTCCGGCTATATATCCAAAAAACATACTTGGAGAGAATCCCACACCAACCTTCTGGTGTTGTCCATCACCTGGACCAGGTACAGTTCTTCTGAACTCCACTCTCAAACCAGCAGAGTCTTCCAAGATCGTGGCCTTTGCAGCTCCTCGGATCGCCAAGATCGGCGGGCCACGCTGACGGTGGTCAGAGCAAGCTGAGCAGGTCACGAAGCCATGTATGCCATGTTCTTGACTTTCAACGCATGGGGTGACCGGGGGGCCAGTGGCGGCCAGAGTGATCCTTTTGTTCTGCCATCCCGTCCTTCCTGCTCTTTCTGCCAGTTTAGTCAACGTTGATGTCTTGGTCGCCTTCACATGTTTCGTGCTTTCTGTGACTACTAGTTTACCGGATATCTTGGGTTTTACATGCATCTACCACTTCTCCTTTGCAAAGACCTTGAGTGTTGGGCTAACACTTTGTTTTTCAGAACACGTTACCACCAGCGTGCGCTAAAACTGTAAATATTTCACTGTATTCTTGCATATCTAGTAGACTAGTGCAAAAACACTATATTTCAGTGAGTGTATTCTACTAAATGCTTCAGTGTCACATAACAAAAAAACCCAAAAAAACCCAAAAAAACAAAAAAAATAGTAAAAAAAAACACAAAAAAAACAAAAACACACAAAAAAAAACAAAAAAAACAACCCAACCAACCCAAGACCCTCTGCAATCCATGAGTCTGTTTTTTTTTCAACAGGGTTTGGACACTGCACTCAGGAAAACCAAAAAGAAAACCTTTGGACCCAAGACCGTCTGCAAGCCATGAGTTTGTTTTTTTTTGTTTGTTTTTTTAGTTTTGCAATTTCAGAAACTTCCTATGCCCATCCTGTCTGGCTCATTGTCATCCTTGTATCGTTCAATTTGCTTCTGTGCTATCTTTCGAGCCCTTCAACACTCTATGGCCATGGAGGTGGAGGGCGATAATATGTCCCTGAGCGATGCCATCGCAGCGACCCAGCACCTCACGCTGCGAGAACTTCCAGCTCATGTTCATGTTGGCCCTCTACCGGTCGGTTCGGTCACTCCGATCTGTCTACCTTTGAAGGAGTTTCTTGTCTGTCTTCAAGTGTCATCGAAAGTCGATAGGCCATACCCCATCACATGTGATATTTATGCATGATTCTTTCTTATGCTTCTCAGGCTTTCGGACTCTACTCCTTCAATCAAGCACTTCGTTGATTTGATCTATGATGTCGAGCCCTCCTCGATCGACATGGACAATCTGAAAGCCATCATCAGAGACAAGGCTTGGCAAGAGCTTCCTGAAGCACTTACCTTGAAGGAACGCCCCACGTTCTCTTGCTTGTCCCAATTTTGTTTGCTTCCACAAACCAATGGGAAACTATGTGTCCTCAAGCATTACTACGTCAAGAGTGACAAAGTCAAGGGCGCATATGTTGCCAAGCTCGTGCGTGGTCAAGGCAAGGAGATTGCTTGGGCCTCCCTCAACACAGCAAGCTCGCCGTGGCTTCCAGTGGATGTTGGAGTGCCTGGGTGGGCATCAGTTTCGTCACTTCTCTCTTTCCGCTGAGAAGGTCCGATCCAACAAAGCACGTGCCCCTCAAGGAGAAGATGAACAGGATGCAGGATGGGACTTCATCATCAGCAACGGTGAGAGAGACAAGGAGAACTTGAAGCAGATGCGCTGGATCCATCGCCACATCCAAAAAGAAGGTTCTCCGATCCATGGTTGGAACGAGAAGTTGGTTCAGAGAGCTCTTGATTGTCTTGCTAATGACGGATGTCTGGCCAAATTGCCTGACAGATATGATTTGACCATCCAAGCCATTCAGCCAGAAATCTTGACCATCTTGGAAGATCTCTTGCCTCATCTTCGTGGACATTCCCTGTGGCTGCTCGGAGAGTCCGGTGTCGGCAAAACCCCTCTCGCTCGAATTCTTTCCATGATGTTTTCGCGATATCATGGAGGAAATGGTCAGTTCAGGTCAGCCCCGGAGTTTGATTTCTTTCGTGGCATCTTCTTCGACAAGCCACGCCTGCCATTTTTGACGATGGTGAAATCGGTAATGAGACCATCAAAAAGAAAAAGGCGTTCTCAGATGTGGGAGATTCTGAGACCATCCTGAAAGAAAGGCCGGGCTCTGCAATGTCACATCACATGTGCAATCCACATATTGTGTTTTCCCTTGACATGCATGTCTGTGAATGTAAATCATTACTTTTCTTGGGCAGGTGGACGGCAGCGAAGTTCGTGATGCATCAGCTTCGCATCGTCGTAGACAACCAGTACAACCCAGAGGGTCAAGAAGGCGATGTTGATGGTGTTTTCTCAGCAGAAGTCTCCCATGAGTCTTTCATGAAGCTGGTCCGTCCAGCCGTGGGCTACATCGCCAATGCCGATGCTATGGCAATTCTGAAAAGGGCTGCCTTCATCGTGTTTGCTGAGAAGTACATCTATTTCCGACCACCCACTGAGAAGCATGTCAAGGTGCAGCGTGTTTTTTGGACCAACTCAGATTCAAAGGACATTCTTCTTCCAGATTGCAAGCCAACCCTGAAGAATTGGAAACTGGTGGGCCTCAGCCGGATACTTATTCCGCATCTGTGGCATGGGAGACTGAATGGTTGAAAGAGCTATTCCGTCGACATGATCATCCTGTACGTCCTGCTTCGCCAGCTTGTCCTGCTACTCCTTTGATTCCACGCCTGGTTTGGATGCGTTGCTTCGGGCTGATGGGGCTTTGCCTGCTGCACCTGCTTCTTCAAGGCCGGCATCGAGTTCATTGTCAATTCCTCACCCTGCCCCTGCTCTTTTGGTTGGCGTGCCCAAGTTGGAGCCAGCCGAGCATCCGGATGCGCATGCATGGTTGGCCACAGCGACACGTGGAGATCCTGTGGATGTAGACACAGATCGTGCAAGTGCAGGTTGGACCGTTAAGGAAGAGCCTTCCTTGAAGTTCCAGAGCCTTGCCTTTACCTCTAGTGAGCCCATTGTCCTGGACACACCTTCCCCGCCACCACACAAGAGACAGAGAAGGACAGAAGACATTCCCAATCCGGACACTTTGCCTGGACTTCATCCTCCCTCTGATGACGAAGATCCGATGCCTCGCGTTGGTGCTGCTCCTGACTTAGAATATGGAGGTCCTGGCTGCCAGAATGGCTTCAAAGATGTGTGCTTGATCATGGCCATGCAAAATATTGGTCTTCCGGTGGTTTGCGATCAAGATGGCCCATTCTCAGTTTCCTACGGCAATAGTCTGCTACTTCCCTTTGGCGTCCAACTGTGTCAGAAGCATTGTCGAAAGTCTTTGCCGGATGGCAGCTACATCGTGCATGACAAGGACATGAAGCACTTCTTTGCCTTGCAGCATCGAGAAGGTCTGCTCCTCAAGAAGGATGGTGAGGTCACCTCAGTGGTGTCTGCTGGTGTGGCAATGGACATGTTGTCATCTGACCAGTACACCTTCTACTACTTGCGAAGGCAATCCTACTCAGCATTAGTGACCTTGGATGCTGTGGGAGGTTCTAGTCCGCAGACTTTCACATGTCCTCTGAGCAAGTGTGTCTGTGAAGGTTGTTCTGGTTCCCTCATCTACCATTTGTCCGTCGATGCCGTGCTGTACGATTTAGATGGTCCTCGAAAAATCGTCCACGTGCAGAAGAACTGTACTTCCCGTTCTTGCCGGGCTTCTTATGGCTACAACTATCGCTGGGAAGCAGGCAAGAAGGTGAACGTCCTTGGCATGAAGGATTTTCAGGACAACATTCTGTTTGTGAACTCGAAGAAGGCCTTTTCTTTGAAATACATCCAGTATCATGAAGAACTTCTGTTCCGTGGTCATCTCTCAGGCGCTGCTGTGTCGTGCGCTTACCACGTTGTCCACAGAGATTCCCAAGAGTCAATCCTTCAGAACTTTGACAAGCTGCATGCGTCTGCGTTGTTCTACTACATGGCTGTGAGGGAGTTCGAGTTGTTGGGCCTGCATCAGGAGATCATGATCGAACAGGAGATCCAAGATACCCATCTTGACCTCTACGATTCCTTTTGCCACTCATCTACCTTTCCTCCACACAAGCGTCAGCAGGTGAAGACCTTAGTCCTTGATGGAAACCAGAAGCTGAAGATGCAGTGTGATATGGCGCCAATGAAGCGCGCAGGCCGTCCTAGGAAGTCTGAGCACACCACCGGGCACTACACCAATGGCTGGATGCTTGCGTGTGATCCGAAGTCCGGTCGCATCATCAGCTTGCAGGTCATGCATGAGCCTGAAGGCAACGAGGTCGCAACTCTGGCTGTGGAGAACGTCATCTGGTTGTAACCCAAACTGGATTGCCTTGTCTACGACAGAGCATGCGCTTTCAAGTCATGTGGGGAGCCGAATGAGGCCTTGAATCAGATCGGCTACTATGTCGTGGATGGTTTTCATTCTCATGGTCATTCGCGAACCTGCCCTTGCAATCCTCGTGTCCTGTCTGTTTGTTTCAACACCAAGTCAATCAATATGGATTCAGTTCTATCGAGACGACCGCAATCATTTTTTGCAAGTTTATTGAGGCACATGTTGTTGCATTAGTCCTTATATGTCCTTATGAATGTGTCGTTTTGTATAGTTTCGTATTTACTTTAAGTCAAGCCTACCTAGGGTACCGCAAGAAGCTGGAGAAGCGCATTCACAAAGAGAACACTTCGATCTTTGCGAACAGGTCTTCTCGTGGTTCCGCAACTTTTCCCCTATCATCAATGAGATGCGAGCCCACCGGCACAAATTCTTCTTGTTGCTTCTGTCCAAGCGTCACAACGAGTCCATTGAGGGTGGCAACATTCGGTATTTGCATCCAACTCGCCTGCCAAACCTCTTCAAGAATGCGAAGTCTGTCTCATACCTATGTGGCAAGAAGTCCAACACGAAGAATGCAATTGGCAAACCCTCGTCTGGCAACAAGATGGTCATGAAGGGCAAGTCCATGAAGAGTAAGTCCATGAAGTACAAGAAGTGAAGAAAGCTGAGGGACCATCTGTAGATCTAATCTCATGGGACAAGTTCTGTAGAATATAAATATTTTTGCTATGTAAATCCTTCTATTTGGTGGGTTGCTATTAATTAAACACACTAATGCATATCAGTAAGATTGCTATAGAATCTCTATTGAAAAATTGTTGTTTGTTGGAAGTCCACATGAGAAGTTTTGGCTTTGGTATGAGCTGAAAACTTTTGACAGCAAGATTTGGCAGCTTGAAATGCTTAAAAAAGTGCACGCTCACAGTGACGAGCTCTCTTGTTTTTCCCCCTTCCATACCCACCAAAAAGGGATAGCAAGGGATGTGTGGGAGTGTTATGACATGTTGCGGGAGTCGCGGGACCCATGGTGTTATGACGAGGACATGGATGGACATGGATGCATTGGCTCTAACCAAACGTCCCATGGACGATGATTTTGCTGAGGATTGCATTGTTTTCCTCACTGCTGCTGCCTTCACTGTGTGCTCTATGCCAGTGGTGTCTGCCATCGGTTGCTCGGCGAGCAGCAGCGGACCTCTGTAGGGAGAGACATCTTTTTTTCCACAACCCATAAACTCAGCCTGGCCGGAACGTTTGGGGATGATTCGGAATGTTGAGCAACAAAGTGTATTCTATTCGTCAGCTTGAGCTTGAACCGCAGGTTGGCCTGAGACGCAATATGCAACCATGGGCATGTCTGTCCTGGTGGCAACTTGGCATTGCACACAAGCTTCGAGAGCTGGAGACGAAGGTTGAGCGAATGTAGGGTCCCTTAAATTTTAGTCGCTAGGGCATGAAACCCAGTGAACCCTATTCCATGACGACGTTCTGCGTTGCTGGTTCTTTTCGCATTCCGGTTGTTGATTCGGACACTTGAAAGTTCACCTCACTGAAGCTGTTGTCGTACTGACTCCTATTGAAGCGCTCTCTCCAGCAGAATGAACAAAAGCAAGACTCCGCCGTTGATGTTGATTGATTCTTCTTCATCCATTGGCCTATGTGCAATCGCAAGCACCATGGAGGTCCCAACCCTTTGGACCATGTCAAGCACCCTCCCAGCCCTTGGATTAGCTATCAAGACAAGCGCCTTACATTACAATGGGACATGTATTTTGAGGAATCTACAGTGGGGGTTCATCCCCTCATTCCAGCATCAGTCACTTGTTTTTCAAACAACCCTTAAGCGCCCCCGTCCTAATCCCCCAGGTGCTGTGCCTCGGGATTTTGGCTGCGTCGAAGGCGCGTGAGACTTGAGGACCCCTGGCCGCATGGTAAGTCTTTCAGTAGGAAAGGATTGGGAAGAGAGGTTAAGTGACTTGAAAAAGGACCCATAACGGACTTGGACCCTGAAAGGATTGGGGCGCATTTGAGACGCATCCATCCTGGAAAGCTCACTTTGTTTTTGTCACGAAAGGTAGCCTCGGCTACCAAGGCTCTCCTTGCTTTAGCAAAATGATGTAGGGGAGGATGCCCCCTTGATTCGACTCCACCCCACCCTGCCGTGTTGTGGTTTGGGGTTGAGATGGGTTGAGTACGTCGGGCTTTGTTAGCGCTCAATCACTACTGCCTTCGAGCGTGATCCGTTACCTCCCTACCGGCAGAAGCTTCGGCTTAATCCGCCCTGCCTTCCACCCTGTTTGATTCGATGGCTCTTCTTGCAAGCAATGGACTAGCTCCGTTTGTGCAACCCTCCCAAAAAATATCAAAAAATGTACAAAAACCCAGGGCTGCGCGTGCCAGAGTTGCATGAGATTTTGGGGGTCATTCCATGTCATTCCTTTATGGGTTCGAGGAGTTTCCTGCTATGCTGCTGCTGGTTGCTGTTGCTTGGTGTTGCTGCTGCTTGCTGCTGCTGGTTGCTGCTGCTGGTGGCTGTTGCTTGGCGTTGCTGCACGTCTTCTGCTATTCTTCCACGCTCCCTTGACAAGACCCTGCAGCCTTGCTGCTTGCTGCTTGCTCCTCAGAATCTTCCGTTCGCTCTACCTTTTGTCCACCTCCGCCTCGTTCGTCTCTAGTCCTGTGCAACGGACTGTGAAACAGTGTCGTTGGCTTCGTCTCGGTTGGCTTCGTCTCGGGCCACTCAGGGGCAGCGTCGAGGGCGTGCAGTGAAGACTCAATCCCTTTAGATCTCGGGAAGTTTCGCGCAGGTGAATCGATCGATGCGAACACGTCCTCAAGATTTGAGGATGGAAAACACCGGAGGGATGGACTAAGGTTGGTGCGGTTGACCATTCTATTGAGCGGTTGGCCAGCTTATGAGAACAACTTATAGAAAAGCTATGGCACCTACAGTTTTGCAGACATAACAGTTTTGTCAAACAGGCAGAGATGGTAAGGAGGATTCAATGACCTGACAGTGCCGTGACTTTGACCATCCCAAGGGATGCGACGCGCTTTTCCCAAGCCTATGCTCTTGTAGCTTTCAGGCTTGATCAATGTGAGAAATTTTCTACATAAGAGCCAAGCAAGGTCCGATCAGATTCATGAGAATACCACCAAGGTCATCGATATATAATTTATGTGATATGTGACTATGGGATGTGCATTCATCTCATTTGCTTGGTTGTACTCATATTATGTGCGGTCTCATGCACGGTCTCATGCACCACTGGAGCGTTCCCCTGCC